TTCCTTAACTTAGAATATAAATCAGTTTTTATTTTATTATATCGTATATTTAATTTAACTCATATTTAAATTCGTGATCTACATCGGGCCTAATGTTTCAAGCCTGGCCCGAAATTTTTTTATTTGTCACAAAAATCTCACCGGTACTCCGTTTCTTCATTTCCGTTTCGACTATCCAGTGGGCACCTACTCCGTACATGGCCCCTTTGTTGACATCTGAAGCATCTCCGTGGATCCTCCAATGGCTGTACCCGGAAAGATGTTCTTCTTGCCGTCCTGCGTTCAAAATTAGTTCGAGGCCGAATATTAGCTGGATCACTGTATCCCCAATATACCATATTTTATTTATCGCCATTTTTAAGAATTCGGATATTTGTATCAGTTTTTCTCCACCAATAAAATTTCCAGTAATTACGAGAATAAATTACGAAAATAAAAAGAAATATTATTTTATTTTCTTTCAAACTAATTCTAAAGTGAATACTCGCAAACAAAAATTTTTTTTATTACTTCTCCCATATATACCCACGATTATTAAGTCATTCCCCCTTTTTTTAAACTTGGCACTGACATTCCCGAATTTCGAACATTTTTCCCAAATCTTTGACACATTCTAAATAATTTTGTAATTTATGATCTTGGCCTTTACCACATTATTCTTTTTTTTCTTTACTTGGCAATGACATTTTCAAATCTCAAACATTTTCCTCCAATCTTTAACACATTACCGATAATTTAATAATTTAGGATCTCGGCCTATAATTACTTCATAACAAAAATTCTTTTTAATTGATCGATTTTGCCAACTATTCCGTTGTCTTTAATTTTTAAATCTTTCATTCCTTTCTTCGCAAATTTTTATCTCTATTTTATTTTTTTATTATAACTTTTTCCACCTGCTTCCCCAACTCATCTCCTTTAATGAGCCCATTTATAAATTTATCTTCTTTTTTTTAACACGCTATTAGACGGCGTTATTTTCACAGCTTGGTATATATTGCGCGTTAACATAGAACATATTTTCCCTGCCCAAATTGAGCACTATAAAATATATTACATCCCGATACCTATTAAATCTCCCTGCAGATAACGATTTCCCAAATTTATTCCGGGCTTCTTCCAGGATACCTATTCCATTGCATGTATATATTGAGCGCTATAATAGAGCAATTATTTCCCCGCCCAACTTGACTATAAAATACATTATATCCCGATATCTATTAAATCTTCCTTTCCGATAAATGTTTTCCCAGATATTTTTCCATATAATAATTATTATTCTACTGAGACATTATAAAAGCTCCAGTACTTATTTCGGGCTTCTTTTGGGATACCCATTCCATTGCACGCATATATTGAGCGCTATAATAGAGCAATTATTTCCCTGCCCAACTTGAGCACTATAAAATATATTATATCCTGATACCTATTAAATCTTCCTTTTAAATTTCAAATTCTTTTATACATGTATTTCATTTCACTCATTTTCGATAATATATCGCCCAACTTCATACCCCCGATCGTAATCTTCCGGGCTCTACACCTCTTTTCAACTGATCCCGATGTCGTACTCCCTCTCTTCCATCGGCGAACCTTACTCGACTTAACTTGTTCCCAATGTTTTCCACGATCCTCCCGGATTCCCATTTTCTGGTAGTTCCATATACTCTAGCCCACACGGTTTGACCCACTATGAATTCCAACATCTCAATTTTCTCCTCTTCCACTTCTTGATTCGTGTCCCTTTTTAATAAATCCAGTAATATTCTGGTTCGTCTCCCCAAAAACCTTTCTGCCGGAGATTGTTCCTCTCCCTTTCGACAGTTGTTGTAATAAGCTACTGCTACCCAAATTTCCCCACCTCCATACTTTGATTTTCTTAACCAATTTTTGACAATCGACACCATTCGTTCCGTTTGACCGTTCGAGCTCGGATGATATGGTGACGTCAAAATATGTCTCGCCCCGGTTTCCGCACAAAAAGACTTGAATTGTCCACTTATGAAGGCCGGTCCTCCATCCGAAACTATTATCTTAGCTACTCCGAATCGAGCCCACAGATTTTTCAGCATCTTTACCACAACCTGAGTTGTCAATCCTCTCACTTCCTCGTATTCTACCCACTTGGAAAAAGCGTCTACCACTATAATATATATTTTGTTTTCGAAGTCGAAGAAATCAACATGTATGCGCTCCCAGGGTCGTGTAGCCTTGGGCCATACACTTTTCTTGTCTCTGCGAAGCATCGGGGCCCACAAATTACACATCGCACAGCCTCTGGTTATATCCTCAATTTCTTTATTCATTCCGGGCCACCATACATACTCCCGACCCCACTGTTTCATTTTTCAACGCTCTGATGTCCGGCATGAATCATCTTCAACACCGCATCCCGTAATACTATACCCTGATTCCCCCGTACCACGCAGTCATCTACTATCGCTAATTCCTTTTCTATGTACTTGTAAGATTTATCTCAGTCTCGCCAAGATCTGCGCCCCTTTAGGCATGCCTTGACTCGGGTCAATTCCCGATCTTTCAAGGTGGCCCCTTTCAATTCCTCTCACGTTACCGGTCCTCCTTTGGTTATTTTGACCATCGTTCTAATTAATCCCTGCTCCTTCGATTCCTCTATCTCTTTCAATTTTCCTTCATCTCCCTCTTCGCCCGCCCCACATCTTGACAGAATATCGGGTAAATAATTTTCTCTTCCCCGCCGATATTTCAACTGTACGTCAAAGCTCCCTACCAGCAAAAACCATCGTTGGAGTCTTGGCGACAACATGAGCTCTTTGTTATCTTTCCTGAACAGATGCACCAAAGGTTTGTGATCGATATAAATAACAAATCTACGCCCAATCAGATACTCCCTACATTTGGTCAATCCGAATATTACCGCCAACGCCTCTTTTTCGATCACTGAATACCTTGTCTCCGCCGCCCTAAATATCCTCGAGAAGAATAAAACTGGTCTTTCTATTTCATCCACATAATGCAATAACGCCCCACCTACTCCCTTGATCGACGCGTCTACGGCCAGTAACACTTCCAGGTCATTGTTAAAGCACATAAGAATGGGTTCCCTTCCAAATCTAGACTTCAATTCCTAAAACGCATTCTCTTGCTCCTCTTTCCAGTCAAATCTTTCTCCCTTTTTTAACAGAGTATACAATGGCGCTGCGATCTGGGCGAATCCCTCGACAAATCGGTGATAGTAATTCACCATTCCCAAAAATGCCTGGACTTCTAATTTATTACTAGGCCTCAACATATTTGTAATTCCTGTCATATTTTTATCCAATGGTCGCACATCTATTCCCGTAATTTTGTGCCCCAAATATACTACCTCCTTCACCCCTAACACACTTTTTTCGGCACTCGCTCGCAAACCTTTTTCTTTAATCCTCCGGAACACCTCTTCCAATCTTTGTTCGTGTTGCTCAGGAGTTCTACTCATCACCAGTACATCATCCATGTAAAAGAATACCCCTTCCATTCCTTGAAAAACGGCCGCCATTGTGCGCTGAGATAGGAGCGGATACACTCAATCCAAACGCAATCTACAAAATGCAAATAACCCTTTTGGGGTCGTAATAGTCAATAATTTCCTTACCTCCGGCCTCACCCGTAACTGTAAGTATGCATTGGAAAAATCCACTTTCGAAAAATATATACACCCCTTTAAATTGGCCAATATTTCTTCAATTCTGGGTAACGAATACTTGACCTCTACTACCCAGGGATTTAGCGTCACTCGAAAATCCGCACATAAACGGAGTTGGCCATTGGCTTTCTTCACGGGAACCAACGGAGTCGCCCATTTACTATACTCCACAGCACATACGATGCCCTTTTGTACCCATTGCTCCAATTCAACTTCCACTTCCTTCCTCCACTCAAATGGTACTCGCCGCAACGCGCAAAATTTCGGTACACATCCCTCCTTTAATTTGATATCCACTTCATAATCTTTCAGACAGCCCAACTCCTCATCAAAGATCTCTTGATAAACATCCACCAATCTCCGTATTCCGTCTTGCACCCGGATTAATTCATCTTCTAATTCCTCACTGCTAAACTCTCGATCATTCTTCTGATTCTCCCTTTCAATCACCTCCTGCGACTCGATTTCCTCGTCTCTTGTTTTCCCATATATTATTGCTCGATCGACAGTATCCTGAATATCGGTCCACTCCCATTTCTTCTCTTCTTCTCTCTCACGACCATTATAAATTGACTTCCCTAATCCTTCCCGATAACCCCTCTCCGCTTCCCTATGACTATCCGCCTCGATTTCTATCCTATAACTCTTCGCCCCTATTTCCCCCTTAGAATTATAATTATTCGCCCCTGTTTCCCCCTTAGAATTATAATTATTCGCCCCTATTTTCCCCTTAGAATTATGATTATTCGCCCCTATTTCCCCCTTAGAATTATAATTATTCGCCCCTATTTCCCCCTTAGAATTATAATTATTCGCCCCTGTTTCCCCCTTAGAATAATAATTATTCGCCCCTATTTCCCCCTTAGATTTATTTGCCCCGATTCCTCTCATATAATTATTCCTTCCTCCTCTAACCCTCCCATTCTCCCCAAAGTCTCTACTCACATTATCCCCATCGAACTGCCGTATTCTCAAACCCTCATTTGTTATCATTTCCTCAGGTAAATACTCCTATACCTAGCATAACTCATCACTGAAATAGCCGCCCCAGTATCAAAAAGCATAGGTACCATATTCCCATTAAAATCTATCATGACCCTCGGACAAGGATCATGTATTATCTCCTCCTGCATCATATTTACGCATCCTGGTACATTTATTTTTCCTCGTGAACACACCTCCCCGGCTCTTAATACTCGGCACGCCTTGACCTGAGTAGCTATTTTTTTACTATCATATAGTCAGCAATTACTGCAATCTCTCGCTACATGTCCCTGTTCCCGACATCTAAAACATTCAGCGGTTTGCTCTCCAACTCCTTGCATTCTAGGTACCCTCATCCCCTCCACTTTGGCTCTTTCAATAGATCGCACAGTTGAAGTACTTTGTCCCGTTCCTCGTTGTGGAAATCCCCCTCTGATGTTATAATTCCCCGTATTACATTCTTCTTATTATGACCAAATCTTCCACAGCTGGCACATCGTAATTTCTCTTGTTTACCCGGACAATAAGGGGATATATGTCCAAATTTTCCGCATTCGAAACACTTTGCTTCCCGACAATCCCTGACCATATGTCCCTGTCTTCCGCAATTATAACAATTCATTCTCCCCCTTACTCTAGAATCAAAGTTGGGTCTCATTTTTCCTTTCCTTCCTTGAGAATTTTCTCTAGGTCCCCTATATGTCCCCAATCTCTGATTAGTATATGAATCTCTCCTTTCAGGCCTATAAATTAATTTATCTAATTCGCTATCCTTCCACCCATTAATTAACTTCTGCACCGGGAACCATGTTACCTTTCCCATAACATCTTCTTCTTTATTATGTCCTTCTATTGTCAGTGTCTGCCCCTTTATTCTCATACTTCGACTTCTCCTCATCCTTCTTCCCCATATTAAGCTACACATCCATATTACTAGTATAATCAATGCCCCAAAAATATTATACTGTATTTCCCAGTATTTTACAAATTTTAAACTCTTCATCATCACTCTATAAAAGGTTTATGATCAATTTCAAAATAAAAATTTTGGTTATTTGCAATGTCAACAGATAAGATATTATTAAGAGTGTAAACAATCCAATGATGCACATGTACATCTACAGTTAATAAGTTTAAAGATATGACAACAATTTGGGCAAATTTTGTGTAACAGATTCACAACTTGTAAAATTTGGGCAGTACTTTCGTACGATAAGAGTTTTTTTTTTTTAATTTTTTTTTTTTGGCAAAAATGGACAGAATTTACGTGTAATTTGGCCACTCTGTGTACTTTAAAAAAACGTGTTCCACAATCCTTCAACGCTTTCCCTATCAATTAAGTTTCAACGTTATTCCGTATATACAACGCTTTTCCTATTTTCAACGTTATTCCGTATATACAACGTTTTTCTTATATTCAACGTTATTCCGTATATACAACGCTTTTTTTATTTTCAACGTTATTCCGTATATACAACGTTTTTTTTATTTGCAACGTTATTCCGTATATACAACGTTTTTCTTATTTTCAACGTTATTCCGTATATACAACGCTTTTTTTATTTTCAACGTTATTCCGTATATACAACGTTTTTTTTATTTGCAACGTTATTCCGTATATACAACGTTTTTCTTATTTTCAACGTTATTCCGTATATACAACGCTTTTTTTATTTTCAACGTTATTCCGTATATACAACGTTTTTCCTATATTCAACGTTATTCCGTATATACAACGCTTTTTTTATTTTCAACGTTATTCCGTATATACAACGTTTTTTTTATTTGCAACGTTATTCCGTATATACAACGTTTTTCTTATTTTCAACGTTATTCCGTATATACAACGCTTTTTTTATTTTCAACGTTATTCCGTATATACAACGTTTTTCCTATATTCAACGTTATTCCGTATATACAACGCTTTTTTTATTTTCAACGTTATTCCGTATATACAACGTTTTTTTTATTTGCAACGTTATTCCGTATATACAACGTTTTTCTTATTTTCAACGTTATTCCGTATATACAACGCTTTTTTTATTTTCAACGTTATTCCGTATATACAACGTTTTTCCTATATTCAACGTTATTCCGTATATACAACGCTTTTTTTATTTTCAACGTTATTCCGTATATACAACGTTTTTTTTATTTGCAACGTTATTCCGTATATACAACGTTTTTCCTATATTCAACGTTATTCCGTATATACAACGCTTTTTTTATTTTCAACGTTATTCCGTATATACAACGTTTTTCTTATATTCAACGTTATTCCGTATATACAACGCTTTTTTTATTTTCAACGTTATTCCGTATATACAACGTTTTTTTTATTTGCAACGTTATTCCGTATATACAACGTTTTTCTTATTTTCAACGTTATTCCGTATATACAACGCTTTTTTTATTTTCAACGTTATTCCGTATATACAACGTTTTTCCTATATTCAACGTTATTCCGTATATACAACGCTTTTTTTATTTTCAACGTTATTCCGTATATACAACGTTTTTTTTATTTGCAACGTTATTCCGTATATACAACGTTTTTCCTATATTCAACGTTATTCCGTATATACAACGCTTTTCCTATTTTCAACGTTATTCCGTATATACAACGTTTTTCTTATATTCAACGTTATTCCGTATATACAACGCTTTTTTTATTTTCAACGTTATTCCGTATATACAACGTTTTTTTTATTTGCAACGTTATTCCGTATATACAACGTTTTTCTTATTTTCAACGTTATTCCGTATATACAACGCTTTTTTTATTTTCAACGTTATTCCGTATATACAACGTTTTTCCTATATTCAACGTTATTCCGTATATACAACGCTTTTTTTATTTTCAACGTTATTCCGTATATACAACGTTTTTTTTATTTGCAACGTTATTCCGTATATACAACGTTTTTCTTATTTTCAACGTTATTCCGTATATACAACGCTTTTTTTATTTTCAACGTTATTCCGTATATACAACGTTTTTCCTATATTCAACGTTATTCCGTATATACAACGCTTTTTTTATTTTCAACGTTATTCCGTATATACAACGTTTTTTTTATTTGCAACGTTATTCCGTATATACAACGTTTTTCCTATATTCAACGTTATTCCGTATATACAACGCTTTTCCTATTTTCAACGTTATTCCGTATATACAACGTTTTTCTTATATTCAACGTTATTCCGTATATACAACGCTTTTTTTATTTTCAACGTTATTCCGTATATACAACGTTTTTTTATTTCTTTTCTTATATTTACAACGTTATTCCGTATATACAACGTTTTTTCCTTATTATTCAACGTTATTCCGTATATAACAACGCTTTTCCTATTTTCAACGTTATTCCGTATATACAACGTTTTTCTTATATTCAACGTTATTCCGTATATACAACGCTTTTTTTATTTTCAACGTTATTCCGTATATACAACGTTTTTTTTATTTGCAACGTTATTCCGTATATACAACGTTTTTCTTATTTTCAACGTTATTCCGTATATACAACGCTTTTTTTATTTTCAACGTTATTCCGTATATACAACGTTTTTCCTATATTCAACGTTATTCCGTATATACAACGCTTTTTTTATTTTCAACGTTATTCCGTATATACAACGTTTTTTTTATTTGCAACGTTATTCCGTATATACAACGTTTTTCTTATTTTCAACGTTATTCCGTATATACAACGCTTTTTTTATTTTCAACGTTATTCCGTATATACAACGTTTTTCCTATATTCAACGTTATTCCGTATATACAACGCTTTTTTTATTTTCAACGTTATTCCGTATATACAACGTTTTTTTTATTTGCAACGTTATTCCGTATATACAACGTTTTTCCTATATTCAACGTTATTCCGTATATACAACGCTTTTCCTATTTTCAACGTTATTCCGTATATACAACGTTTTTCTTATATTCAACGTTATTCCGTATATACAACGCTTTTTTTATTTTCAACGTTATTCCGTATATACAACGTTTTTTTTATTTGCAACGTTATTCCGTATATACAACGTTTTTCTTATATTCAACGTTATTCCGTATATACAACGCTTTTTTTATTTTCAACGTTATTCCGTATATACAACGTTTTTTTTATTTGCAACGTTATTCCGTATATACAACGCTTTTCCTATTTTCAACGTTATTCCGTATATACAACGTTTTTCTTATATTCAACGTTATTCCGTATATACAACGCTTTTTTTATTTTCAACGTTATTCCGTATATACAACGTTTTTTTTATTTGCAACGTTATTCCGTATATACAACGTTTTTCTTATTTTCAACGTTATTCCGTATATACAACGCTTTTTTTATTTTCAACGTTATTCCGTATATACAACGTTTTTCCTATATTCAACGTTATTCCGTATATACAACGCTTTTTTTATTTTCAACGTTATTCCGTATATACAACGTTTTTTTATTTGCAACGTTATTCCGTATATACAACGTTTTTCTTATTTTCAACGTTATTCCGTATATACAACGCTTTTTTTATTTTCAACGTTATTCCGTATATACAACGTTTTTCCTATATTCAACGTTATTCCGTATATACAACGCTTTTTTTATTTTCAACGTTATTCCGTATATACAACGTTTTTTTTATTTGCAACGTTATTCCGTATATACAACGTTTTTCCTATATTCAACGTTATTCCGTATATACAACGCTTTTTATTTTCAACGTTATTCCGTATATACAACGTTTTTTATTTCAACGTTATTCCGTATATACAACGTTTTTCTTATATTCAACGTTATTCCGTATATACAACGCTTTTTTTATTTTCAACGTTATTCCGTATATACAACGTTTTTCTTATATTCAACGTTATTCCGTATATACAACGCTTTTTTTATTTTCAACGTTATTCCGTATATACAACGTTTTTTTTATTTGCAACGTTATTCCGTATATACAACGTTTTTCTTATTTTCAACGTTATTCCGTATATACAACGCTTTTTTTATTTTCAACGTTATTCCGTATATACAACGTTTTTTTATTTGACGTTATTCCGTATATACAACGTTTTTCCTATATTCAACGTTATTCCGTATATACAACGCTTTTTTTATTTTCAACGTTATTCCGTATATACAACGTTTTTTTTATTTGCAACGTTATTCCGTATATACAACGTTTTTCCTATATTCAACGTTATTCCGTATATACAACGCTTTTCCTATTTTCAACGTTATTCCGTATATACAACGTTTTTCTTATATTCAACGTTATTCCGTATATACAACGCTTTTTTTATTTTCAACGTTATTCCGTATATACAACGTTTTTTTTATTTGCAACGTTATTCCGTATATACAACGTTTTTCTTATTTTCAACGTTATTCCGTATATACAACGCTTTTTTTATTTTCAACGTTATTCCGTATATACAACGTTTTTCCTATATTCAACGTTATTCCGTATATACAACGCTTTTTTTATTTTCAACGTTATTCCGTATATACAACGTTTTTTTTATTTGCAACGTTATTCCGTATATACAACGTTTTTCCTATATTCAACGTTATTCCGTATATACAACGCTTTTCCTATTTTCAACGTTATTCCGTATATACAACGTTTTTCTTATATTCAACGTTATTCCGTATATACAACGCTTTTTTTATTTTCAACGTTATTCCGTATATACAACGTTTTTTTTATTTGCAACGTTATTCCGTATATACAACGTTTTTCTTATTTTCAACGTTATTCCGTATATACAACGCTTTTTTTATTTTCAACGTTATTCCTTATATACAACGTTTTTCCTATATTCAACGTTATTCCGTATATACAACGCTTTTTTTATTTTCAACGTTATTCCGT